AAAAGGAAAGAAAAGATGCAGTTTTTCAGACTGCAAAAAAGCCTGACTGTACTGTTGCGCAGGTAAAAAACGCACGCACGAGCGGTCAGCGAAAGGTCTGGAGCGGGTCTGAAAACTAGAAGTGAGCGACTGGCAAGAGACGTGAACAATTTTCTTTCTCTTTGCACACTAAATGGCGTGTACTGCCCATGCGCCTCGCAAGAGAAGTTGAAGGAAAACAAAAATACACAAGATATACAGATATACAGATACCTCGATATAGCGAAGGGACAAGGGACCTGCAAAATTGTTCGCTATAACGAAGTTTCGTTATATCGAAGTTCTTTTTCTTATATTTTACTATTACTGGGGTAAAGAAAATCGTTCGTTATACCGATGACTTCGTTTAATATATAAAGGTTCGGGGGAACGTTTCAGCTAGGAAAAAAATGGTCGGGAAGGCAGAGGAATGGGGGCGGCTTAATTAATTCACTATTTGAACGCATTGAATAGGCTAACAACTGTTTTGTAATCCAATTGTTTTCAGAATAAAATACAACGAAAAAATGTGCATCAGTGCTGGCATCATTGGTGCTGTAGTATATCAAGCATGAGACGCAGTGTTTTATCACCCGATGAAACACTGTGTCGAATACTTGATATTGCTTCTCAAACAAAATGATTTTAGAAGGAGAAATTAAGGATGCAAAAATGAGCAGTATTTCTCCTGATTTCCAAACACTTATTAAACCATTTTTATGAGTATTAATTAATTTGAGAAAATAACATAACAATGCCATACTAAATTATTATAATGCTCAAAAAGATATCGTAAAGTTATCTAAGGCGTTCACATTCACAAAGGCTAATCAATGAATACGCAGTGCCCACGAATACTCTTTTTTTAACAGACTGATGATGTCCTCTGTCTTTTTTTCTTTAATTGTCTCTAAGCTGAATTTGACTGTTAAGCTAAACAATGACAAGTTTTTCACAGCACAGCAAAGCGATTTTATTGAAAAAATGTTAATAGATATTGTAATACGTTTGAAAGTGAACAGAAAAACACATGTACAGTTAAGTGTAAATTATTGGCGGGTAGATTAAGTTGTGCTATATATATTTTCTTGCGATTTAGAGAGGTGCCATATAATTACAAGAAAGCATAGTCCACAGGAAATTAATACTCATTTTTTTTCCTTTCTTTTACAAATCCTTCATGTCCTTATTATTTGTTACAAAACAAGCATCACTGAGTATTTTCGAATAGCAAGTAAAGGTAAACAAAAACGTTTTTTTTTTTTATCTCCAGCTTAAACAACTTAGGCTTGCGTCCTTTTTAAATTACGTCAGAGTTTAGTCACATCAGCAAAGGAAGCAGCAGGCGCCGTTCCTTACGCTGTAAAGGCCAGGCGCCCAAGGTATCCAATCACAAGAGCGCTGGCATAAATGGAGACAGAAGAGGACAGCGGCGAGGTAGCTCCATTAAAGGAAAGAGCTGAAAAAGAAAAGATACCTCTTACTAAGCCTAGTCACCTTAACGATTATAAAGCGAAAGTAAAAACCGAGGATCAAGGGTAAAATTTACTGTTTTCCGTAAGGGGTTTTTCTTCCAACCAGATGTAAATATATATCTGTAAGTACAATTTTCTTTGTGTCTGGCTCGTCTCGATCGATTATTTCTGGAATTTTGCTAATGAACACTTCCCGTAATATTAATTGCCGAGAGAAATACACTATACTCCACTTCCACATTTCCCATAATGCACCTTATTTCCCAGCCCCCCCCCCCGCCCCCCAACCTTGCGTAAGCATTGTTTTCAATTTCTCTTGGTACGGCTCTAACGCCCAAGAGAAATGGAAAACGACGGTTATGCAAAATTTTTTTTTTGGGGGGGGGGGGGGATAAGGTGCATTATGGGAAATGTGGAAGTGGCATGTGTAACATATGTGCTGTTAGCATAAATCAGTATTGTTATTCATTCAAAATATTTCTCCATTTATAATTGGCTTTGATCCCCATCTAATTTTTTATAACCATCAAACGTTGACCGGATTTAGAAATTCTTTTCCCTTATCAAGAGAAATGACTCACTTTGACGGATAATTTGACAGAAAAAATGGATATCAGAATGCGTCGCCTTCTCATGCGCACCCGTTCATTGATCATGACACAATGCTCGGAGGAGAGTTGCGTGACGACACAAAGAATGGCTGCCGGTTGGATACCAAAGAGGGCGCGGTAGCTCAGCTTCTCTGGTACTATTACTATAGAAAATGCCGGCGTTATGCGACAAAATAGTCGAAATACTGCCTAAGATGATAGCAAGAATAGCAAACAATTGCTTATAGAATATATGCTAGAATAAACATTCCTTTATACTCTCGATCTGCAAAGGAAGAGGCAAATGTTACGAAGACGAAGACGCCCCGCCCGCGGTTTTCGGACCACAAAAAAGCAAACGACGATGCAGTTGCAAACGAAAGTTCCTTGCAATTTGTTTCAGAGATCAACACATTGACAAATTGTTAAGCCTGAGAGTGAGTGTAACACAGATATATACCATTTTCGGAAAATAGCCCAGGCCATTAGGAAAGCTAAGTTTGTTAGTAGGTTAAAATATTGGTCCCAAATAAACCAGCCCTTCGCCGTATTGCCAGCATTGCCCTCCGCCATTTAAAGTGGAATATCTCTTCCATTTTCAGCATTATTATTGATCTTCTTTTGCCCGCCATAAATCACTGTCTGCCGCTCAAGTTGAATTGATTAAATATGTAGCCGGTTCGCTTGAGTTCGAAGAATTCCTAGAGTTATTTATCACGACGAAAAAGCTGTTTTAGAATTTACAAGCTTATATGTTGTGGTGTAGAGTACCAATATAATTGTTCAACAAAGTTAAGAACGACAACAGCGCGATATAAATGAGCATTCAGTACTGACAAAGTAATGGGTAGTTGATCTCATCTACTTCATATGACGTCTTGCTCTAGCATCTAGAGTTTTAGCAAGAAAGAACCAGTCGGTTTTATTGACGGGTTGAGTTGACCTCTACATAAGGTTTTTACCATTTTTGGGTCTTAGCTTTGTGCATGTAAGTTAAAACATGGACGCAGTAAATAGCAGTTTTGTAACAATCGAACCTCACCTTTAATGCACTTTCCTTTGGTTGCCTTTGACTTTCTGTATCCCTTTTTACATCTGCAAATTCCGTTGTGACACATCTCATGCGCATTACACTTGACCTTGACACAGTTATTTGCTACAATGATGAAACAAAGTTTTTTCGCCAAAACGCAGTTCTATGCAACCGATTTGTGCACTCTGAGCACTGCCGTTGGAGGAGCGCCGCCCTCGATTAAGAGCTGCACAATCACTGCAATTTGCGGCTCTTCGTATTTATTTTAACCTTAATAAACCAACCTTTTTAACGTTCTTCTCGTGCAATAGTTGTTGTTTTTGGAACTTACCAGGCTTACAGCTACCGCCATTTTTGACGTATCCGTCTTTACAGCGGCATTCAAAATTTCCTGGCACGTTTACGCATTTTTCATTCTCAGCGCATGGGTTTTGAGTGCATTCGTCTACATCTGAAAAATATGTATGTTATACTGCAGATTCTACTAGTGACAACCGGCCCTTAACAATTCCATTTTGGAGATATGGCAGGAGATACGGCTGCTCAATCACAGATTAAACAAATGACACTGCATATTAGCCTGCAGTCATCTACTATCGTACCCATTTCCGTTGGACAATAATGGGCAAAATAGGATCGATCACATGGGGTGAACAAGAGACCTTTGCATCCTAAACAATTTCAGCAACCCAATTCTCACCAGTACCAGCTCCCATCCCAGGGAGATGGGTTCGAATTTACTCCAACCAAAAGGAGATTGAGTATATCTTAGCTTCCGATATTCGAGTCACTGTTGAAACCCGCCCTACCCAGTTACAAAATTTACTCTATTTCTCGGGTAAAATGGCGTTACAATCATAAAATTAGACATTTGGCGACGTTCCCATTGGATTCCCCGCCAAATGACGTCTGAGAAACCAGCTCAGAAATTCCATACTGATGACGCGTCACTACCCAGATCTGGGTAGTGACACTTCATCAGTATGAAATTTCTGCTCTTGTTTCTCAGACGTCATTTTTTTTGGCGGGAAACCAGTAGTAGCGTCGCCAAATGTCCACTCGGCTGTTTTCTTAGGCTATCATAAAATCGTAAGAATGGCATGGTGGTATGAGAAAACAGTTTGAATGAAACTAAACACATACCTTCACAAGTCCGTTCCTGACCGTCTCCTTTAACTACGTAGCCTTTCTTCTCGCAGCGGCACGTGTAAGCTCCATCTTCTTGTTTTAGGCATTTGAGAGTCGGAGGGCAAACATCACCTTGAATTCTGCACTCATAAATGTCATCAGCTACCACGTATAATATATTGAGCAAGTATTAGACTTAGATTCTGAAAATCTGCTCACATACCCCTTCTCTAACCTAATACGGTGCACGTGATGGTGTTAAGGTTGTGTTAAGGGAGGGGTAGGTGGGCAATTCCGCAGAATTGTGAGATTAGCGTAAGATCCTGGAAATTTTCCCACCTACCCCTCCCCTTATCCAATATTTCGCCCTAAAGGAGATGTCAGTGTTAAGGTTAGCTTAGGGTAGGATTTTTAGACGGATTTATTTCAGTCAGTGGTCATGAGTTCTTTTAGATTATTGGTTTTAATTGTCTGAGCAAATTAAAGTGCTTAATAAAAGCGAATAGAACAACTATGTGCAGTTCCATTTACGTTGAAAACATATCCTTCTTTTTGTATCATGCCGAAGGAAATGTGCACACGTTTTTCAATTACTTTGATTCTGTTTCAATTTGTGATTTAATACTTATTGTTAACTCCTCAAAGAGAACACTGTAAAAACTTTACCTTGACATGTCCTCTCATCTCCTTCTCCTTCTACCTTTAAGCCAGCATCGCAGCCACATGCGAAAGTTGCGTTTTCTTGTTCCTGGCACTGCAGTGGAAGTGGACAAGCATCTCCTACCTTTTCGCACTCGTCCATAGCTGGGGAAATTGTTTTTAAGAATAATTCAGTTACTCGGCGATATTTACGGTTTAAGCCCTTAAACCCTAAGATCAAAATTAAAATTCTTATTTGTCACCCCTATTCATTTACTATAGAAGTAGTTCGAGAAGTTGATAAAATATCAAGCAAATACATCTTGTGTGATCATGTCTGTAATTCTCATGACCACTCTGTTTTACAAAGCGTTGCTATCACAAGGAAAAATTTGATGCTGATCACTCTTAGGGTTTAAAGGGTTAAGCCCAGTCCAATCCCTTCTGAGATGCCTCATCGCGTCAAACTTTCATGGAATGGTGTTTACTCTTTGGGCGCAACTTTCTCCCTAAAAGGATATAGCTCATTCAATTAAGGTTGCTTTAATTTTCGCATTGGGAATTTGCAATTGGGCTTTGGGCATTTTTACACACAGAACTCACTGCATAATTTGCCCAATCCTCAAAGCTATCTTTATTGAATCAACTATAAATCCTAATCATTTGTGCAGTTGATATAGCTGGCGAATTATTAAGCAATAAAATCCCTGTTCCAGCCGAAAGTGGGGAACGATGAGAGGCCAACCATCGACCATTTTGAAGTTTCGCCCGGAACTGGCTCGAGGTTGTCTCGAATTGCACTATGGGTCTCGGCTTTCCGCGCAGGCTCATTGTGTCCCCTAAAACAGTCCCATGGAGCAATGCGATACAACATAAATTGTAAAAGCAAGAGCTATTTACAGTTCCACTTATTACTGGTAAGCATTGAGGAGCCAGCACACTATTCTATACAGGAAAAAGCCTAAATTCGTCGGATTTAAGATCAGAAGCATGCGCATTTGGTTGCTTTTGTTAAAATCCGGGGTATCCAAGCCACCAGGGATATCATCCTGTGCAATGACGTCACGTAAAATGCACGTGGAAGAGAGATTATAGCAGATGATAAACGAGGTGAGTTTTTAATTCTGTTTTATTTTGCTATTTTCAAGATGTCTTAATTTGCTTGTGGAAGTATTCATCAGGGTCTCGTACTGGTTCAGTGACAAATCTTGAGGAAGGCAAGAGATTTCCCATATACTGCCATGATTGATACATCTTTCTGTATCATTATTTCATGCGAATTATTATGCTGGATTTTTTGCTTTGGCGCTTTCAAAACGCCGGCATTAGAAACTTGTAGCGGAAGAGAAAGTTACTTGTAAATAAAACCATAATGATATAAGTTGTTAAAGAACATATCTTTAGTTTGAGGAACCAGAAGGTAAATGCTCAAATACAGACCAAGGCGCTTGCTAAAAACAAAATTTCTACCTGAATGTTCTAGATTCAAACTATGCATAAAAATCACTCCCATGGAGGTATGTAGTGCGCACTAATTTGAAAGAATTAGCATAACGTCAAAACAGCGAACTGAAGTTCGTAGGCGAGGTTCTGTTTGGAATTTTAAGGTGTTGCAGTAAGCTTGGGATATTATACATTTCACATCATGAAGGATATGTGATACATGGAACAGCTTTAAAAATCAAGTTTTTGCATAAAGTTACACTTGGAATTCGGTTTAGAAAAAAAGTTTGTTTCCAAGATCGCACCCAAATTTCCTAATAATGCTATTAAGAGAGTAAATTGAGTTATTTAAAATTGGAGTTTTTGATGCTTTATCTCGTCTAGTGAAGATATAAAATTTGAAAATATATTTTCGTTTTATTTGAATTCACAGAGGTTTTATTCTCAACGAGGCTACTTGTCAAAAACTACACTTTATGCTCCTGACACTGAATTTTCATTTACAGTTAAGATGGCACAAAATTTGTCTCTCACAAATATTTTTTTATCGCTGTCATCGGTGATACATGACTTTCAAAGTTACTTTTTGAAAAATTCCAATCCAAAGTACCTCTAAGTGGTGGTGTGTTATAGCAATTGAAAAAAAAAAAGAATAGGAATCACTGGTCTACAGCCCCTGCTCTAAATTTGATGAAGAATTGTACCTTGACAAGTCCTGTTATCTCCTTCTCCCACTACTTTTGAGTCAGCGTCGCAGCCACATGCGAAAGATCCGTTCGCGTTTTTCACGCACAGCAGGGCAGATGGACAAACTTCTCTCGCTTTTTCGCACTCGTCCAAGGCTGGAAAAATTGTGTCATAAAGAATACTTAGTCTCCTCGCCAAGCCCACTAATTAAACACGTCTTTATTTTAGACGAGTAACCATTAAATAACTAAGTCAAGATGTTTTAGGCATCTTGATCGATCGCTTTTGAAACCATCACAAATTTTTTTTAAAAATAAAATTAAATGGAAAAAAATCGGAGACTCAAGAGAAATGCAGAAACACTACAAGGGAGCATGAAGGGGCGAAATCAGATTGCATGCGAACGTGAAGGCAACCGCCAACTTTTTACGTTTGCCTTACCTACAATGGCTTCGTCCAACCTCGTTCCCAGCATCCTCTCTTACTCGTTTCACAGTTGCCGAGTAGGAGAGGACCCTGGTAAAGAGGTTGGGCTTCGACGAGTTTTTTTTTCAACCATTCGTAAAGCAAACAGAAATAGGCAACATCACTGGGACAAAACCTATGACTGCAAGGTCCTTTAGAAATAAGCTGTACCTTTACACGTCCTCGCATCTCCCTCTCCTACTACCTTCGAGTTAGCATCGCAGTCACATGCGAAAGATCCGTCCTCTTGTTTCAAGCACTGTAGCGCAGATGGACATAACTCTCCTGCCTTTTCGCACTCGTCCATGGCTGAAATGATAACGCATTGTCGTGACAAATTCTTTCATTCTTCAGCTAACTTTGCTCATGCTCATTTTAACTTTAAAAATCGACAGCAATTCCATAAATTGCTTTTTTCGGCGAACTCAAATTTTTAGCAGCATATATACTTGACGACGTATTTCTCCTCTCCTCAAAAGCCGGAATTGAACTCTATATTTGTCATTACAAATTTTACTAATTGGACTCTCTACGTACTTTAATTTATTGCTGAAGGCAAGTTTATCGAACGAGACTATGAGGTGTATGAGTACTTTTGACATTTAAGGCAATTGTGCTCTACGAGATTGTTTTATACCTTGTTATAAGCTCATTCGGATAAAATGAGGAAAATAAAGGAAGCAAGCATTCTTTCAAAAGTGTTTTCTTCCCAACTGCTGAGAATGATGGGACCGCTTGAAGGGCGACCCGCAACATCTCACATTTTGTTAGAAGCCGTCAGTTAAATAATAATGATATCGTACCTTTACAAGTCCTTCTGTTTCCGACTCCAACAATCTTAAAACCAGGAGTGCACCCACATTCATAACCTTGTTTGTGCTTCACGCACTTCAGAGCAGGGGGGCAATTAAGTCCTTTCTTTTCACATTCGTTCATTGCTATAAAAACGACATCAATTAATAAATGCACCAGATGTCACGGGTTTTCTGAACATCCCAGAAAATGTAAGAGAATTCGCGTTAAAATTGTTTATTATTCATTCAAAATATTTCCCCGATTCTGATTGGCTAAAAACATAAGCATAATTCACCATAGACAGTTACTGATGACCAAATTTGGAAAAATTTTGTTTTTAACGAGGAAATGGCGTCAAAAATACAGCGTTCTTGCGGGTTAAAGCACCGTTAACCGAGAGGACCTGGGGACAACGTTGAGTTGTTTTGGTTGTGAAAACAAAAAATGGCGGACATTTCACTCGTTTCAAGAGAAAGAGCTAGGCGAAATTATAGCTAAAAACATGGCAAGAACAGCAAGAACACAACTCAAAGGGCGACATCTGCTGTTTGGAGAATATTTGCTGAGCTGAACAACCCTAAACGTGCACTATCGAAGGTGAACTTAACATCGATGGAGGTAAGCATGTTTTAGATTTGCTTTTAAACTAGGAGTTATTTTGAATGAATAATAAAACAATTATTGAATTCGGCTTCCGTATCATATGAAGAATTCTGGAGATCTCGGAGGGTGATATCCGCCTCGACCTACGGCCTCGACGGATAACACCCTCCTCGATCTCCATAACTCTTCATAAGATACTCAGCCTCATTCATTAATTATAAATTAAATAGTACTCGTACCTTTACAAGTCCTGGCGTTTCCGCCTCCCACAACCTTAAAACCAGGATCGCACCCACATTCATAGTTATGATGCTGCTTCACGCACTTCAGAGCAGGGGGACAATTTTTTCCTCTCTTTTCACACTCGTTCATTGCTAAAAAATGTCAAGTTAATCGTTATCTTTCATTACATTCACGAGTAAACCAGGGAGTGCAAAAAGGCCATTTCAGAAGCAAGAAAAAAAGTCTCTTTTACGGTGAAAGTGGATGCCAAGACATCGGCACAAGATCAGTTCACCAAAGTTTTTACGTAGTACTTATAAATACCTTCACACTTCCTCGCGTTTCCTCCTCCAACAACCTTGAAACCAGGATCGCACCCGCATAGATAGCTATGTCCCCTTCTGATGCACTTTAGAGCAGGGGGACAGTATAGTCCTCTCTTTAAACACTCATTTGTTGCTTTAAAGAAACAGTCATCAATTAAATGCGTAGTCATAAGTTTTCTAGTGAACTGGAGAATGTGTGAGTGAGAAATGACAAAAAACTTCAGTCTGAGTGAATACCACGAGTGTTTTGTATTTTTTAAGGTCGATAAACAAGGTAACGGGAATGGTAGACTTGAGCGAGGGTCTTCGAAATATGGAGTTTGGTGAGACAGTATGTTTTAGGAATGGCTATGTAATGTGGCATTTCGTTGAATTCTAATAAATACCTGCACTGAGCAAGTGCACGGGGGAAGTTCGGACAAAATATTGCATTTTTTGAGACAATTCTCCTTGATAATTGGAGTTAATTGCAATGACCGGACAAAACGCTCTATTCATGTCCAGTCTTCATGAATTGACAGTAAAACTTTTCTTCTAGATCCTTAATTTTTGACATAGATGCTCTAAGAATTCTTTGATCAATGAACATCTCAAGATCAAGAGAGTCTCCCCGTACCCTCTTTCTGAATTTTGTGACAAGTCTGCCCTATTTAGGTCACAAATGTGACTCTATAACATTTAGCACCAACACCGTATTACATTTGGCACACCCTTATAACATTAAGCACATCAACATGTCCCCCTGGTTACCTGTGCATTTCTTCGCGGGATCCCCAATAAAACCGTCTCTGCATTTGCAAACGACCGTAGTGTCGTGAAAATAGCCTGTCATCATGCACATAGAGTGCGGTGACAAGCATTTAAATTTCCTTCTGTTGACGGACGGGTCACACGCCCTAAATCCGCCTAAAATTGTGAGCATAAAAAGAACAAAATAGTAAATAATATTATACTTGGTAAGAAAGAAAGAATTAAAGTCGGCATAGTTGAAAACTTTTTGAGTGATTTGTTGAAAACTAAAGCAATTATATCACCGCAAGTTCCCTGATACAACGAACTTTCGTGGGCTCCGGCTAACCCCAGAGCTGTTTGTGTTAAAAAATTACGCGCCTTTGGGGAACTATATCTGCGCTAATTCTAAGGCGCTGTTTCTAGCGATGTTGAAGGATAATATTCGCTAATTCCAGGCCCTTATAACAAATCGTGGAAGGGACTCTGGCAGACAATTCTACTTTATTATTCAGCTAAAAGTGATTCCACTGGTTTTAAAACCTCAATCTTTGATTTATTGATTCGGCAGTAAAATAGTATTAACATTCAGTGGCTTTCTGCAAATCGTACAAAACGTTTTTGCTCCTTTTTAACGCAGGAAAAAAAAAATCCAGTAACAACCTCATCACCAGGGCTTTTCCATTTAGGTACAGCAAGACTTGAAAAGTAAATTTATAGTTTATATAATAAAGAATAAACTCATAATTTTTTCGTGTTTTAAGATTAACCCTCTAAACCCTAGGATAAAAATTTGAATTCTCACTTGTTGCCCCTATTCATTTACTACAGAAGTAGTGGAGAGAAGTTGATAAAATATCAAGCAAATTCATCTTGTGTGATCATGTCCGTAGTTCTCATGACCACTCTGTTTTACAAAGCATCAATATTACAAGGAGAAATTTGACGCTGATCACTCTTAGGGCTTAAAGGGCTAAGCCCCATCTTGTCCCCCTCAGCATCATCTCATTAACACCCCCAGAAGAAGATGCTAAAAGACGTTTCAGGTGTTTTATACCTTGGCAGTAACGCTTTCCATCTCCGTAATGCCAGCCCTGACAAGCACAGTGGTTCAACAGACACTTTGCTTGTGGATGGCACTGTCTGTCTGAATGACAGTTACCTGCAATAAAAAACAACGCATTATCTCGATCCCTTAAAATGAACTCAGAGCAGTAATCTGCAAGATGTACACTTGTCGCTCTTAAGAATTTTTAGAGTTTTAATTGTTCCCGTTTCTTGGAATTTTTTGTTTATTTGTTTTGGAGTTTGCCCCTCCAAAGTTTGATACAGTCAAACATGAACACTGCTTTACAGACACCCGCTTAAAACGGAAACCTCATTATTACGGTCAGTTTACTTTGTCCCTTGGGAAAAAAATCCCTTACATTTCTCTAAATAGACCTCTTTAGCTTCTGTGTTTTGTTTTCCCAAAACAGGTCATGTGATAATACTCTAGAGAACTGTTCCTCTCAAGTTTTGTCTAATTCACGTGCATATCTGGGCATAATTTATGAAAAGACAAAGGGCCAAGTTCCCCTGGGACCTCTACTGGAAAAGAAAACATACAAGCTAAAGAGGTCTATTCGATCAGCCCGCTTTATGCGGACACCCCGTTAAACTCCTGCTTACTCTTAATGCGTGTCTGGCAACTTTGTGAGACCACAAGGGAATACAAGCGAGTAAGGAGCTTGAAAATTCATAGTTTGCAGACCAAAACTTCCCTGAAAATGCGTGCGAATGTTACAAATTATATTCCTTAACTTTAATTCTATAGGCGTAGGTGAGCAGCGTTAGGTTTAATCGAGGATTGGAGCAAGTTAAACACACAGTGCAACTCAGGAGGTCTTGCAAAAACCAAAGGGAAAAACAAACGCTCAATACTTCCTACCCCACATGAACGGCCATAATGAATAAAATGAGGTTTGAACTCTAATGCCACTGCCATTTGATAAACGCAAACGGCTATAAAATTGCAATAATAAATGTGTGATCATGGTTTATTTTATACGTGTACTTTGAGTTTGCCGACTTTTCACTTTGGCTTTGACTCAGAGTGTTTTATATTTCTTGTTAGTGTCCACCTCGAAGGAAAAAGATGGAGAAAAATTCCAAAATTTAATGATTGAAAAAACAACGCAGTTCGAGGAACCAGGCTTTGAAGAGGCATGCCTTCTTGCCTGTTAAAGAAAACCTTGACCTTAGCCATTTCACAGCGGTGACCAACCCAATCTTTGTTTGACATGCTTTACTTCTTTGGGGGTAAACACTTTTTTCTCCCTCTTATTTTGTGTTGCTAATTTTGACAGTCAATTGCTTATGTGTTCTTGTGGTATTTGCTGTTACTATCATGTTGAAATATAAAACTTTAACGCCCGAGCTTACTGTTAACATGTTTATACTACTGCACGAGAAATTTCTGCAATTTGATTGGCTTGGAGCAGTGGTATTTCAGCTTAATTTGAAGTACTTACATGTGAAAATTACAAGCCTATTGCGAGTAGTGGTATAAACAAATAATAGCATGATTTGTACGAGATATTTGGCATAAATACCACTCGTGATATTTCAAAATTGTCTCACATTACGTTTAACAATTTCGAAATATCACTACAAATCATGTTATTACCTATACTAATATAAATGTAAAGATCGCGCGTCTTGCTGTCCTCTTATATCAGACATTAAGTTTTAGATTAAAAAAACTCTCTAAAAGTTTTGATAAGTGTTATCCTTACCTCCCGAGACACTCTTAGGGTATATAAAAAGGACGCAACAAAAGACTCCAAGAACAATGGACTTAGATAGCCAACCCATTCTGGACTAAGGCATCATTGCGGCAGTCTCCTCCAAACGTACTGCCAGGGTAGATGGTGTTTAAGGCCAAGATAGAATGAAAGCACGACGCATTCAAGCAAAGAAGTCTTGATCAGGTTGCTTACAATTACACGTCATAAATCAATTATAATAAGCTGATTTAGCAACAGAACGGGAACGTCTGTTGACGACTGCGCGTGCAAATCAAACAACTACATTGACCAATGGCAGAGCGGCAAATTGGGTACCGGAAGTCGAGTTTAGTCCTTTCCGCGCGCTTACCCGTCGTCAAATGACGTTCCCGTTCTTTTGCTAAATCAGCCTAATGTCTTAGAACGACAGTAATCCATTGCGCGCGCACAATACCTCCATCTTACTTAAAAACAATCAAGGCCTTTATTGATTTATTTAATTCTATTCTTAAATGATCAGGTGTCAAAAAACACACGAGCGTTTAATTGCGCTTAAATGGAGTCGGAACTAAATGTGGAATTGTACAGAAATGCATCCTGCTGATGAATAGTCAGGACATATTTCGGAGCAGTAATTTGCAATTTGCAGATTGCCCTAATCCAATTTTTGGAAGCTATTTTATATACTGGTCAACATTTTCATTCTAGTATACAGGTACGTGAGTGGGTCCACCAGCGCTTGGGTTGTCGTCGGTAAAAAGACTTAGGCGCACTTTCAGAACAAAATATCAAATCCAACTCACCCTGCGGTGTTTTGGGGTTTATCCCCGACCGGTGTTTACGGAGAGTGCCGTTTAGACTAACTCTTGAACAAAGTCGAACAACTTTCAAACAACTCTCAAAGTTACTTTTTCATACCGGCATTGCTCATATGGCCCGGAGTCCATACTCGGCAGATACGTGGATATGTGTCTGGAGAAATAAGGGGTGTCAACCCTGTGTGAGATTGAGGTCTTTTTAAACGGTAAGTAAAATGGTGCTTTTTGTTAGCTTACTGTTAACAACGACCTCAACCTCATACGGGGTCAAAACCCCTTTTGGCTTTTTTTTCGGTGTTGCGGAAACTATTGCTGTTTAGCTGTTATTTTTTAATGTCGATATCTTTCTTTGGCTTTTTCAATCTTTTGCCCAGTTTTCTCCAAGTGCTTATGCACGTCTCTTTCTCTGCTTCTACCTCTCAAAGGGTTGGAATTTGGCTTTCGACCTCTTTTCACGCCCCATGTAAGAGAATTCAAGAAACTCTCGGATTTTGGATTCAACTCCGTGGACTCCGGATTCCAGGTACTTGATTCCAGTCTTTTTCAGTGGAAATCTGTTCCTCAATGGGATTCCGTATTTCTTGCGCAGTATTCCAGATTCCAAAGCCCAGGATTCCGGATTGCGCAAGCAACAATTCCCCGGTTTCAGGAATCCGAATTCCTTAAATGGAGTGAATAATCTAAAACAAGAACTTTTATTAAACATGTTAATCGTCTTCGAAATTTGAAGAGTACCAGGCCCATCTCGCTTTAGAGCTAAGCGGCTCGAGGTCTGGTGACGATGAGGATGGGGACGATAAGGAGAATGGACACAAAGAGGACTTTACTCCTTTCGAGGAATTAAGAGAGAAGAACACAAATGGTGTGGAAATGAAAGAGGAATTTGTTCCTTTCGGGAAGGAGCACGGCTCGAGGGAGAATAGTGGAGGCGGGGAAAGCGGAAGCGGAAGTGGAGAAAGCGGAAGCGGAAGTAGAGACCACTTTGTTTCATATGACGAGGAAAAGAACAACTTGGAGCACGTGCGCAAATTTTACCAAGGAAAAAAATGGGCGGGGAGGGGAGTGGTGGGGCCGGGTACACTATCTAAACGAATAGGCTAACTGTTTTGCAGTGCCACTGTTTTCAGAAGTACAGTACGAGGCAACAATGCGTATCAGTGCTGGCATCGTTGTTGCTGATAATATATTAATGCCATACTTGTTATAATTCTCAAAAAGATGTTGTAAAGCAATCCAATTGCAAGCTGGTTTACGTTTATCAATGAATGTGCAGTGCCCATGAATATACCTCTTTTTAGCAGAGTGATATCATTCTCTTTTTTTTTTTTTCCTTAACTGTTTCTATGCTGTATTTTACTGTGAAGCTAAACAAATAGAAAACAAGTTTTTCACAGCATAGCAAAGCGATTTTATTGAAGGTTTAACAGATATAATACTTTCGAAAATGAACAGAACACATGTACAGTTAACTGTATATTATTGGTAGGTAGATAAAGTTGTGCTGTTTATTTTCTTGCCATTCAGAGTGGTGCCAAATAATTAAAAGAAAGCATAATTATATAGTCCCCAGGAAATTAATACTCATTTTTCTCTTTCCTTTACAAATCCTGCTTTTCGCTCTTCTTTTGTTACAAACCAAGCATTACAGTGTATTTTCGAATAGCAAGTAAAGGTAAACAAAAATGTCATTTTTCTCTCTTCAGCATAAACAGCTTAGGTTTGCGTTCTTTTAAAATAAGACAGAGATTAGGTGGCATCAGCAAAGCAAGGAGCAGGCGTGGTTTCTTATGCTGTGAAGGCCTGGCATCCAAGGTATCCAATCACAAGAGCGCTGGCATAAATGGAAACAGAAGAGGACAGCGGGGAGGTAGCTCCTTTAAAAGAAAGAGCTGAAAGAAAAAAAAAAAACTTTTTATAAGCCTAGTCACCTCAACGATTATATACCGAAAGTAAAAATCGCGGATCCAGGGTGAAAGTTACAGTTACTGTTTTTCGTTCGGGTTTTTTCTACCAACCATATGTAAATATATCTGTAAGTACAATTTTCTTTGTGTCTGGCTCGCGTCGATCGATTATTTCTGGAAGTTTGCTAATGAACACTTCCTGTAATATCAATTGCCGAGAGAAATACACTACAACGCAATATGCTGTTAACTAATCAGTACTTATTGTTATTTATTCAAAATATTTCTCCGTTTAGGATTGGCTTTGATCCCCATCTAATTCTTTATAACCATCAAAGGTTGACCGAATTCGGAAGTTCTTTGCCATTATCAAGAGAAATGACTCTCTTTTACGGATAATTTGACAGAAAAATGGTCGCAGAATGCATAGTCTCCTATGCACCCATTCTTTCATCGTCATGCAACGCTCGGAGGAGGGTTGCATGACAACACAAAGAACGGCTGCGGGTTGGAGAATGAAAACCACAGAATGCGCGGTAGCTCAGCTGTTTTGGTACTAAGAACTATAGAAAATGCTGGCTTTATGCGAAGAAATAGCCGAAATACTGCCTAAAATGATTGCAAGAATAGCAAAAATACCACTCGGCGGACAACAACTACTTTCTGTAGAATATATGCTACACTAAACATAATTGCTTTATACCCCCAATCTGCAAAGGAAGAGGCAAATGTTATGAAGACGAGGACGCCACGCCCGCGGTTTCCGAACCACAAAAAAAAGCAAACGACGATGCAGTTGCAAACGACAGTTCCTTGCAATTTATTTCAGAGATCGACACATTGACAAATTCTTAAGCCTAAGAGTGAGTTTAGCACAGATATGTACCATTATCGGAAACTAAAGCTCTGGCCCTGAGGAAGGCTAATTTTGTTAGCCACAATGTTGGCCCCAAATAAATCAGCCCTTCGCCGTATTGCCAGCCTTGCCTTCCGTCATTTGAAGAGGAAAATAAAAAAAAAACTATGAAAAAGTTTTGTTTTAATTTCCGCTTCAAACGACGTCTAGCTCTAGCATCTAGAATTTTAGCAAGAAAGAACCAGTAGGTTTTATTTACGGGTTGAGTGGACTTTGGCATTCAAAGATTCTGTACCATTATAGGGTCCTAGCTTTGTGCGTGTTACTTCAAACGTGCACACGGTAAATGGCACCTCACCTTTTACGCACTTTCCTTTTGCTAACTTGGACTTTCTGTATCCCTTTTTACATCTGCATATTCCGTCGTGGCACATCTCGTGCGCATTACACTTGACGTTGACACATTTAGCTACGATGATGAAAAAACAAGTCATTTCAATATAATGGTATAAGGGGAAACACGTAGTCTAGCGTTTGTGATGTGTGATTTCTTTTACATTGTTAGGAACGCTTTGGCATCACGCATGTGCAAGACGTGTTTAAAGTACTCCGGTAACACGTGTTGCACATGATACTCGACGTCAAACACAAGGTTAACTCTACTGAATGATCCTTACAGGGGACGCGCAAAACTTCCTTTGAATGGGTCACTGCGAATACGAGCCCAGTGCAAAGAGTGTTGTTGAAGAAGTGCAGTGATGTAGAGAAAACAAGAAGTAAAAAACTCGCTTACTCAATTCTCCGTCTAATTTTTAAACAAAGTATTTGGCCAAAATCCAATCGACTGTGTGTTACCTTCTTCTCGTGCAGTTGTAAGGGGGTTTAAGCAACGACGACGGCGACGGCAACGAGAACGGCAAAAAACTGCAGCACATTTTTTAACATCTATTTTTTGTCGCTGTTGAGCAACTATAGCGTGAAAGTGTTCAATTTTTCGTTTAGTGGAGGACCTGAACTCACCTAACCAGTTCAAAGTCCCTCTATTTTCTCTTCTAAGTCCTTCGAGTGCGCGTGATAAAAAAAACGGCAACGGATTGATTGACCGCCAGCGCAAGGAGGTTATGATGGGGGAAGAAGAAAATAGACGGTCGGTAAACATCTTTGGGAGCAACTGAAACTTGCCTTTACCACGAAAAGCAAATTACCATTGGCTGAACGGCGATTATCCTGTCATCATCATGTCAACGACTCATCTTTTTTCGCACTCCGCGCTGGCTCTTGCCCTCGCTGATGTTTTCGAAAAGAACGAAAAGAGAAATAAAACAACGTCTGTGTACAGGCTAGAACTCACCAGGCTTACAGCTACCGGCATTTTTGATGTATCCGTCTTTACAGAGGCATTCAAATTTTCCTGGCACGTTTACGCATTGTTCATTCTC